TTCTTCCACCTGCAAAATTAGCTACTCTTCTGATCCTCATCCCCTCCACACAGCTGTGCAACCAGCAGGGCCAGGGGGCTGTTTTCTATTTAAACTATTTACTAGGTTGGGACTGGCCCTCAGTGTTTACAAACAGGTACAAAAGTGGTACAACACTGATACAAAAAAGGTTCAGAACCACTGCCTTAGAGAATACCCACATAAACCAGGCATCTGGGCTGGGGAAGAAACTTCAGCCTGCATCATTAAACACATTCACACCCAGCCCTGGGTTTTCCTTTACCTTTCGCCAATGTGTCCTCAGTGACTGGGATATTTTGCTCTTTGCACAGCTTGACACACCGTACATAGCTCTGGTGGGCTACCTGCCGATAGCGGTTAACGGATTCTGCTACTTCCCCCTCCATCATGGATGGCAGGCAGTGGTCATCAACAGCTCTATCTCCACATCTCACCAGCCGACACTGTTCTGCCCATTCAAGTGGATTCACTGTCTTCCACACCTAAAGGGGATGTTTCTGTTAATGCACTTAACAAGCCCAAGGAGGTAAATGAGCCAGCAGGCATCACCCCCTCTTCGAGAGGGAGTGATGTGTGCTGGTACCAGTCACAGAAGCCAGGACTCCATTCGCACTGCTGTGACAATGCTGCTGGCCAGAAAGCGGAACGGCCAAGACTTCAAGACATGCCCTTGTTTTGCAAGCTGGTTTAGGTCTTCAGAAAGCAGAAAATGTTCAGAGTTTCCTGTGATCCGTGGCTTTTTCCCTCTGGTGTTTCCTAAACTAAACCTGTCCCCTGAACCTGCTGCTTAGTGAAAGTGTGAATCTGACAGGATCAGCTTCACTGAGGAGCTACCTGGTCCTCAGGGAATTTGGCTTGAACTACAGCCAGGGCTCCTGGGATCCTGATTTCTCTGCTTGAAAGTCCACATACACCTCTGCTCAGGAGCCACATCCCCCAGAAAGCCATGCTTCCCTACTCTGGGGTGGTCCATTTGTTCTGTCCTGAGCCATGGCCCCTGGAAGCAGTGCCCTGAAGTGCCCCTGGCTCTGAGGCACTATATAGTCTGTGTTGGAGCTGTGGACCTGGCAGAACAGAAGACCCACCCTGGAGGGAGTACCTGCTAGAAATCCAGGCACGGTTCCATGGGATGCTCGTCTTGGCTTCCAGGACAGTTTACTGAACCCAAGACATTTCAGACAAAGCACTTCCAGCTCAACTCACTGGCATTTACCTTTTGATAGGACATGCCCAGCTACTTTTGCTATGACTCCTGTCCCAGGGGACTCTGCAAGCCAGGACTCTAATGAGCAGCTCCCAGGGACCAATGCAGCTTGGGGTGAGGAGCTAAATCAGAGAGTCTGAAGAGATGTTTCATGTGTTTCCTGGGCCTTCTTGTGCCCATCTTAAAAAATAAAAGGACCAGAACTACTTTCCTGTCTCACAGGGTCCTGGGTAGCAGGTCTGAGACCTTGATTGATTGTAAGGGGTATGAAGATCCTCAGGGGAGGGGGACTGTACATCAAAGGGGCAGCAAACACACGCTACCTTCTTCAATCGCCTCCACTCTCGATAGTGCTTGCCAACCTCCTCGATATCTTCATCTGTCATAGGCCTGCACTCTTCAGTGTTGACAGGAGGAACTTCTAATAGTGTTAACTTGCTCAGCTCTGCGGCAGAGGTCACTTCAACAGTATAGGCAGTAGCTTTCTCAATAAAATTGAGGAGACGTTCTGCAGAGTGACAGGAAAGAGGGAAACCATGCTCTGATGTAGCAGGAAGAAATAGCTGAGCTGATCAAAGCTCAGAGAGGGACCCTCAGCTGGGACCCTCCAGATCTCCTGGAGTTTTGCTTCCAGATTTGAAACTAGACCCCAATTTTATATCCTGGGCCAAGCTCTAGACTGGAAGGATTGCTCACAACACTCCACTGCTTTGCAAACAAGGATGGAGTAGCTGAATCATGGGAAAAATACTTTGCTACTAATGGTAGGACTTGATTCACTGTCTCAAAGGATTGGAAACATCACTGTCCATGTACTAGGAGTGAGGGAACTGAGTCACAGTGACAAATTGACTTGTCACACAGTAAAGTGCTGCCTGGAACAGAATGTGTGTCTCCTGACCTCCCATCTAGTCCCCTTTCTGCTGGACTGGGTTGTTTCCCTCTTTTAGGGATAACTCATTTAACAGTAGATAACAGGATGTTACCAGGGAGTATTTCTGTATGTTAACAAGATAACAGAGTATGCCTCAAAATGCCCAGTGTGGGAGGAGCTAAGTGCTTGAAGGGGTGAGGGGGGAACATCAGAAAAGACCTCTGAAAATTTTTGCAGCATCTTGGATTTCACTGAAAGCTATCCAAGTGTGGCCCAAATATTACAATGCATAACTGGCTGCCAGAGTTGGTAGAGAGCCTGAAACGCTTGCTCTAAAGTATGAACCAGTCAGTTCATTTCAGTGGCTGGTAACTCAGGAACCAAGGGTGAGATTCAAAATGTCATCTTTATTAATTATTTCAAAGCATATGAGAAAGGAGAGGAAGGATCATACCATAAAAATTTTAAATATGAGTGAGCCTTTAATAAGTAAAGAAAGGCCCTCCTAAATGGGGCCTTGACTTGGAAATGCTGCTTTGCTAGCAAAAAAGCAATTAGTATAACAGAGTCGCTATAAAACTTTTCTGCTCTCTCTGACAAATCTAATACATGCCACTGGACTAAATGGACCTGTCAGATCCAATATAGCAGCTCCCATGCTGCCAGGAATGCTAACTCCCTTCCCACTAGTGCTCCCATCTCTGTACCTTCATGCCTGTCCCTGATATAATTTTGCAAGGCTGGCATCCACATCCTTTGACACTTGACAATATCTTCACTGCATACAAAATTCCTGGGCTTTGGTGCTGATGTAGTAAGATAGATGAATGCATCTTCCAGCTCCTTATCAGTGATAGGGACACCAGTCTGACAACAACAGAAAGAGGCTATAAACACGCATGCCAAAGACTGGTTACAGACCAGCAGGGAAGAGTTGTGCGATTGCTCAGTGCCTGCTGACCAGGATGGTGGTCTGGGAAAGAGAAGGGGAGTGGGAATTCAGACCCGTGTGTTCTAGTCCTTGCTTTACCATGGAGATGCTGTGTGACTTTGTGCATGCACTGTAGTCACATCTACACAGGTTATGGAGGTGCTTCTCCCAGGGGTGGTCAAGGCCTAGATGCACCTCAGTGTGAATAAGCACAACTGAGGGCCTGAAGCAGCATGTTTGAGAGCACTGCTGCTGGGTGTGGTACATTTCTTGTGCAGAAGTGGCTTTTGCACCTCTGGGCCTCAGTTTCTCCATCTCCAAAATGGCTCTGTTGTTATTGCATGTGGTGGTTATACCCAGAGGACTCCCAGCTGGGGCTGAGGCTCTGGAGTGGGAGGCACTGTACAACCCCTTTGTAAAAGACAGTTCCCTAGGCAAAAGGTGGAAAGGAAAACAAGTGAAACAAAGTGAAGTAGTTTGCAGAGATCAGGTCAAGGGTAGAATCCAGCTATCCTGAATCCTGATCCACCACCCCAAACCCCTGGCACACACTTGCCTCTTTGGTCATCCAGACCTGCCTCACCTCATGGGTTTTGAAGGCTAATCAATGGTCTGGGAAGCCTACTGTTGTCAGGGCAAAGTCAGACTGCTGTGAAAATCAGCACAATCAGCCAAGCAGCCCAGCTACTGAGCTGTGAACTTCTGTGGATTGCATGACTAGCTTCCATTCCCCACTGAGATGCACTCTAGATGTCTCTTTGGGCATCCAAATATCCCCCCGAGTCTCTACTTCCCCCCTCCTGCAGACTCCCCCAACTCATACCCTGAGATCTCAGAAGACTGTTTCCCCAGGGATCATATCTATATCAATTTAACCAGGAGCGTTGGGAGAGGAACCACTAGAAGAGGAGCTCTTCCTGTTAAGGATTCATCCCTTATCATTGGCTTCAGCATATCTCTATCAGTGGACCTGGAGCAAAATTTCTGTGGTGCGTGTACAAGCTCTTCTCTACTTACCGCCTGTATAACTTTAAAGAATTCTTCTCTTGTGATATTCTTACTTGTCATCTTTGACTTTTTGAATAAGTCTACCATCCTGAGCTTCTTTTTGCGCAGAAGGTAGAGCAGCAGTACGAGGGCATGAGGGTAGGGAACATTGATCACAGGGACAACGCCTTTCCGACAGGACTGGCGTCTCTTGGGTGGTGGGGACTGAAAGAGATAGAAAAGTGGAAATAAAGCACAAAATCAGCATCCTCTACATGAGGACATTCACCTGCTTTCCTGGCCCAAGTCTGAGAGAGCTCTGGGGTACAGAGATATAGTTATCAGTTGGTGGAAATGGCATCATTCCATTGCAGCTATGGGAAGGATCTTGATTTCTATCAGCTGACAACTAGACCTGATATTTCCTATACCCATCAAGTTAACCTTATTCTGGATGTTGTCCTTCCTCAGAGGCCTCCAGAAGGAGAGGGAACTCCTGACGTGGGGGGCAACCCTATTTCTAAGGTTGTTCTTGCCTGCTCCTAACACCCCTGTTTCTCCATGTGGACCCTGAATAGTGCAGGGCTGCAGATGGAAGAAGCTAGGATGAGGCTGGAACATAAGGGGAGCAGGGGTTTAGTAAGGAGGCAGAGGATGTCCAAATGGACAGCCATAGGCCCAGGGGATCTCTGAAGAGCCCGGGCATTTAGGCATAGACCATGGAGGGTATAGCTCAGGGGCGGGCAAAATACAGCCCACGGGCTGGATCTGGCCTGCTATGCAATTTCATCTGGCCCGTGGGTGCCCACCAATTAATTGTACCCCATCCAACTTGCATGCTTCATTCCCACCCTCCTGCACAGGAGGGCCCTGGCCAGCATGCACAGCATCTGAGCAGGGCTGCTGCTGCCACTGCTGCCACTGCTGGGGGACCTGCTTGGCTTCCCCGGCCTCTAGTGGCTCCTGCTTCTGTCTCTGCTACAGCACTTGCTCCGGGCAGCAGGTAGGGAAGCTGCAGATGGGTGGGAGTGTGGAGCACGGGGCTGGTGGGAGTGTGGAGCCCAGGGCCCGCTCCCAGTGGGGTGATGGGAGCACAGAGCTTAGGAGGGCAATGTGTGGGTGTGTAAGGGAGGGTGGGGGATGTGGGGACCCCCCCACACACTCCCTCCCCATGATGCACAGCCCCTGCTTCTGGCAGCAGCGGCAGCAGTAGGCAGTGGGCCCTTGGGGTGTGCTTGGCCTGCATAGGCACAGCCATGGGGTGGTGTGTGGCTCCAGCCAGTTCCAGGAGCTGCACGTGGTGGCAAGGAAACTGGCCAGGCTGGCCTGCCTCTATCGCATAGGGCTCAAGTGCAGCTCCTGGCACTCGTGCAGCAGCAGGTGGAAGCCCCATGCAATGGAGCCAGCTGCCTTCCCTGCTTCTTGCCACCACATGCAGCTTCTGGGACTCCTCCGGGAAGCAGGGGGAGAGGCTTCCTACCACTTCTGGCGAAGTCCCGTGAGCTGCACATGACAGCAGGGAGTGGGGCAGCAGCTAGTTCCATTGTGTGGGGCTTCCCCACAGTGACACACTAATGCCGGAGCCGCACCTGAGCCCAGCATGATAGAGGCAGGACAGCCTGGCTCCGCTCCTTGCCACTACATGCAGCTCCTGTAACTAGCTGGAGCTGTGCAGCACTTTGTGGCTGAGCCTGCACAGGCCACGAGCACCCCAAGGGTCCACTGCCTGCTGCTGGCATGAAGGGCTGTGCACCATGGCGGGGTTATGTAGGGGGGGTCCCGAAACACCACACTCCCTCAGACCCTCCCCACACCAACACGCTTCCCACATCCCCCCCACTCTCCCACATATACACACAGCTACATCCCCTCACAACCTCCCACCCACACCCCACCATACACACATACTCACCCCCACAACCACACCCCACACACTCCCCCACAACCCCCCCCTCACACAACGTACAAGAGTAAGACTCTATTTTTCAGCTACTATGCAATCACCTCTATATATACTAAGCAAACACACCTAAATCAGGACAAAAATATTTTTTTAAATAAAATTAAAATATGTTACAGTGGATGTTTGACTTTTAGTATATGATTTGTTTTTTTTCTGGTTCCAAGATGGTAACCAGAGGGATGTGGACAATATGGAGAGGGTCCAGAGGAGGGCCACCCGCATGATCCGGGGACAACAGGGCAGACCCTACAGT